CAGTCGTTGCTTGCTGACGAGATTGTCACCCCGAACACTTGGATCATCCGCGTCGAGTTCTCCAATTTCGTCATCAGAGTACTCGTCTAGTACCCGATCGAATTGGTCGTCAAGGAGTGTCAACTTGTCATTACGGAACATTGTAGAGGAAGACATCACAGAAAAGGAGGTTTCAGCGGTTCGTCGGTCCCATCGCGAATTATGGATGTCGCTTTCATCTTCATTTTCCTCATCCGAATCATGCGGGGTATGCTTTTTATATTTCTTGTACTCTTTGTACCAATCCTCCTGATCTCCATCATCTTCTTCTCCTTCTACCTCCGGGACCTCCTCCTCAAACCCCTCAGGTACCTCATCAGCATCCAAGGCAGCAAAGAAGTCATCATCAGCGGCGTCGTCGACGTATTCCTCGTCATCGAGTGCATACAAGACTTCACGGACATCGGCGCTCACTTCAAGTAGTGAAGGGTCAGCTCGGTTGAGCATCCCAACTCGGTCCTCGTTCGTTGATGGTAAAGCTTCGCTAGGGAGGTCAAAAGTTACCTTCCGTTTCCCAGAATGGGCTTCTGCTGCTTGTTCATCCTGTTTCAGACAGAATGTTCAACAACTTCACATTTACCTTCCATGCCATCACTGTATCGAAAAACCTACCACAAATTGAATTCCTCCCGATTTATCCTTCTTTTGTGTCGCTTTTGGTTCCATAAATACCGCGCCAGGGTCTTCGCCAATTGGTTTCAAGTGCTTCATATAATCGTACTTGTCTTGATCATTGAAGAAGATACCGTATAATGATGGATCTTCCTTTGCATTCAATCTGTGCAATTACGCAACTGGCCCGATCAGCATTTTACCAAAGAAAATTGTGTTTGGGCGTACATACCGCTCTGACGTTGGCTTCCCTTCCTTAGAACGGTGTAAAGCATCCTTCGACTTTGCATTGCTTACGCTGTTCTTCCCGTCCTCGTCCGCCTCCGGCTCGCTTTCTTCCTCATCCTCAAACTCCTCGTCAAAATCGCCGTCCTCAAACTCTCGGTCAAACTCTTCGTCGCTTTGTTCCTCAAATTCTGGATAGTCCCCTTCGGGAACCTGATCCACGTCATATTTTCCTTTCTAAAATACGGTTTGCGGCATATTCAGTTACTGCAAAAGTTTTGCTATTGAGGGAGCAGTCCAAACATACCTTGAGCAAATTGTAACTCGGTGGAACTGCTTTAAGCACATACCGACTCGAAGCTTCGTCAGCGAGCGCTGGATCTCGTTGTGACCTGTGCACTACTTGGTAGTGTATGGAGTTCTTAGGGTCGATGAACTTTTTCTTGCCCATGTTTGTCAAATGTGGAAGTTTCGTTCTTTCCTTCAGTCGCTTTCACACTTGCATTTCGTAAAGAATAATTATGCTGTGCCCCTGGATTCCATGGCAACAACCTGTCTATGGATCAAGTGGAACTCGCGCTTCTATGCCTTTGCGTTTTCGAATTTCTCACTCACGATGGTATGTTTGTTTTAACACAGCGGACATCCCCATTTGATTACTTATATTCCACAGGCAAAAGGGTCGGCGAAGAAAATTCACGAAAAGAATACCCAAACCCTCTCCAACCTTCTCAAAACGCATGCGGGAGTCACAGCCTTCTATATTCTTTGGCGAGTTTTCTTTCTATGGTCTTCCCTGTCAAAATGGCATATCATAGGGTGGGCTTTAGCAAACGGACTATTTGTATGGTTATACCGCTCGTTAGGTGCTTCTGCAACACCGAGTTTTGGTCCTAATGGCGTGATTGAGGACGCGGGGGCGGATTTGTCGGCGGAGGGCCTGGTTGCCTACATGTTTGACATAATATATATTGGATGGTTTGTGCTGGTCGCGACGGCCGTGATATCGGATAGTAAGTCAGCGTGCAACGTAGTGTTCGCAAATCCTGCGTTAGATCTAATGATTTGGATCATAGAATTCTGGTGGACGTATCTAGTCGTACCAGGGTTCGCAGCATACAAGATCTATGATAAGGTTGGTCTATGTACAGGTAGTGATGGGGAGCATTACCTAATTGGATTTTCTTCGGCTTAGGTAAAACCAATGCTAACGGGGGGATCGGCGCAACAGAGCCCGCAGCCGGCAAAGCAAGAAACAAAAGGTCAAATACGTCCGCGG